GAATTCTTCACAAGAATGATTCATTTCAATTGAATGGGCTGATTTTGTAAGGGTGCGAATCATGTATATAAAAACAATAAGCTAATTGCAAGCAAGAATAATTACAATAGAAAAACGAAAAAAAAAAATCAAATAAACAGTGTTTTATGGTTTTACGTAGAGTTAAAAAGTATTAGAAATAGAATATTAAATGCAAAATAACTATTATAGTCTTCATTGTATCAAATAAGTAAAATAAATCATCATTAAAGTAATGAATCTACTCTTTTTTTGTGCCTGAATGCTTTAAACTCTCTTAAATGCCTTTAAGACACACACAAATGTTAAGGTTTCACTTTGGTATTGGTACACTTTGCTATGACTCGACAAATCTCATGTATTTCAGCAACTGTTGTGCTGATCAACTATAATCCAAACTCAACATTGCTTATCATGCAATGTGACTATTGCTGTCACACATTGCGAAATCGATGCTGAAACAATATATTATGCAGCCCTGGTAAATATATGTAAAATATCAGTATTAATGAAACAAATAATAAAGAGAAAAATGTAATAATGTAATATAAACTGAAATACAAAAACACTGATGTACATTAACATTAAGTTAAAATATAAATAACAATAACAGGTAATGTGAAAGTAAATAAAATATTTTTTTCCCCCTGAAAGTCAGATTTATTAAAAAAAGACAATAAATGCAATGGTGGGGGAAAGTAAACAAACATTAAAAAGACACTATTGTGCATTAAAACAAGTTTAAAATAAAATAAAAATGTAATTAATTGCAGAGTAAAAACTTAGGAATTATCAAATTAATAAAATCTGAAAACATCAGAAAAAAATGAGTTAGGTTGAAATAATTTAAGATGACTAAAGGAAATGTAAAAGCACAGCTGTGAAACTAAACTATTATAGAATGAAAAAAACAATAAAATATAAGGTTAAAAATGCAATAAAATTCATTATAAAAATAGAAAGAAAAAAAACTGAATTAAATAAACAGAAATCTAAAATAGTGTAAATAAATATATAAATATACAAAATGACTGTAAATTAAAATAAATTTGTACAATTAAATTTAAATAGAGCTAAGTTACCATATAAAAAATGTCAAAATTAACAAATTAATCAAGAAAAAATCCTAATAATATGACAAAAAAGTTTATCCGTTGCCTCAAATAGCATATAAACAGCAATGACATATTATAAGCATTTACAAATTGCACTTTATTAAACAACATCATAATAAAAAAATCTAAACTTTGAATAAATCTAAATGACAGACATCCTCAGCACTCTTTGAAGAAAAAAAAATAAAAATAAAAATACATTTTAAATTCACAAAATTGTGCATGTACTGTTCATAAGGATAACCCTTGGGTTTTTATGCATGTATTTATTTAGAACTTAATTTAGGCATTGGGGTTCATGTAGAACAGAACACTCACTCTGAATGTGATGTACATGTACTTCTTTCCGACGGGCACTTTCACTGTCTGTCCATCTGCTATACCTGAAGAACATCAAACACAAGACAGTCGATAACTCCAACATTCACCTCAGTTTAGCGCAGCTACGACATCCATTCTCTGACAGACACACACCTGCAGGCACAGGAACCATGACGGTCTGTTTCTGTTTGGTTTGTCCAGATCCTCGACACATTATGCAAGGCGTAATGATGATAAAACCCCGTCCGCTACACCGTCTACAAGCCGAGCGCATCATAAAGGGCCCGGTGTTTATAGATTCCTGCATAGCAGAAGCAATTATTGCTAGAAAATAACAACAATCTGATGAAACTATTTGTGAGATGTTATTTGGATTTTTTATTTGCATTTCGTATTGTAGCTGTCCTTCAATGTAAATCTCTGTGTTGGCGTGGGTTTCCTCTGGGTGCTCCATTTTCCGTAGTCTAAAGACATGCAGTATACAGTAGGTGAATTGAATAAACTAAAACGGCCATAGTGTACAAGAGTGTGTGTGAAGGAGAGTGTGTGGATGCTCCCCAGTACTGGGTTACAGCTGGAAGAGCATCTGCTGTGTAAAAAACATACTGTATGCTGGATAAGTGAAGGTTCATTCCGCTGTGGCGACCCCTAATGAATAAAGGGACTAAGCTAAATGAATGAATTACATATTTGCTGTCCCGAGGTGTGAACCACTCTGAATATGGGATGCACCTGCTGCAATCTTGTTTTATTTTGTGTTTGCTATGAATCCAGCTGTATTGGCCAATCAGAAATGAGAAAACTGCAAAACTACAGTTGTAGTGGCCACACAACCACACTAAACATGCCTGTTGTAGATGGGAGAAAAAAAGATGCATCGAAATTCTTTCACTAGTGAAATTAATCAATTATTTATTATTTTGAATCGATTATCAAAAGTTCTGAATTGATTCTGTATTCAATGACCTGCGAGGACATGATCCAGAACAATTATTTGCATTGCCAAGCAAAAGTATAATTAGCTTAATTCGGATACAATTTTAATGGAGTATAAAAGTCTATATATATATATATATATATATTTATATATATATATATATATATATATATATATATATATATATATATATATATATATATATATATATATATATATATATATATATATATATATATATATATATATATATATATATATATACATACATACATACATACATATATACATAAATAAAAAAAAAAAAATATATATATATATATATATAGTTAAAACTTTTTAACTTTTATAATAAGTATTATAAGTTACTAAAAACATCCCCAAACATCAATACAAAACACAGAGCACAAACACAAAGCTTCCAACACCGGAGATTACAACACACAACCTTGGCTATGAAACCACAAACAGATTCACAGAGTCACAGAATAACATACAAACTACTTCATGGTCATTTGTTTAATATACCAATAGTAGACAGTATAAAAGACTTCTAAAAAATATCATTTTTTTCTGTTATTTCCATATATTCTATATATTTTTATTTATATTTGAAACCATGTCTTTGTTTATAACCTTTTAACAAACTAAAATAAATTAATTCTTCTTGGAATAAGATCTTTTGGTTTTTTTTTTTATAATTGCTCTTTGTAATCTAGCATTTTATTGTTACATTCAGAGATTGTTCATGCCAATTGTTCATGAAATCATGAACTTTGTTAATAAAATAAATATTTTTTTTATGCTGGCAGTGCTGTCATATGTAGATGCCAATCATAAACCAAATAAAAACATAAAATAGCATAAAAGCATAAAAACTCCTGTTCTAGATAAAATGTAACTACATGTGGAATCGAGAATCCCAGACTCGGATCAGATAGTCTGTAGAGATTCACACCCCTAATTAGAACACTTAAAAATACCATGTGATCTGCTCTTCAATACTAGTAAACTCACCATTCCTGTGCCATTGCAATAGTGACAATGAGACACTTTAGTTCCCGGTTCAAAAGCTTTTCCATCACAGCGTGGACAATCGTCATCTATGTTGACGGTAATTTCTTTATTGACACCCTTGGCAGCCTGCATGAACGACAGCTCCATCACAAACTGAGAAGAGAGAGAGAAAAAGAGAGAGAGAGAGAGAGAGAGTTAAAACATGAAGAAAAAATTTTAATATAGTCTCCATTTTGTGGTATTTATGTGTTCTTTGAAGGAATCCAAAACAAATGTTGCCACATGTCCCATGACACTCAAGAATGGGATTTATACTTTATAAATTATGTGAAAAATATGATAATATGTGGTTAATCATATCACTTAAATCAGTGTTTCTTAACCACGTTCCTGAAAAACCACCACTTTTTCCATGTCTCCTTAACCAAAAATTGAAACTGATTCAGATGATCAGCTCATTAGCAGAGACTGAAAGACCTGTAATGGGTGTGTCAGACAAAAAAAGACATCCAAAACAAAGTGCTGGTGGTCCTCCAGGAACGTGGTTGAGAAACACTTACTTTAATCAAATGAAAATAAGTGTATCTTTATACAGCATGGTCAACAATGGGGTGGAATTGTTTGGTACTCACCAAACAAAATTTCAATAATTAATGCTAATAATATACATATGCTTTAGATTTTCTAGCTTTTTCATAATTTAATGAATTTATTAAACATGATTTCCCTTTTAATATTTCACTTCTAAAATAATCTGCTGTGTGTCTCCTTTAGCACGTATGCATCCATTTAAAAAAGTTACACAAATACGTAGAGGTACGCCCCAAATACGTACAAATACGCCCCAAAATTCACAAACTTTTAGGATTTTAAAAATTTATAACATACATAATGCCTTTTTTTTAAAGAAAACTTAAGCAAAAATATCGTATGGGATTTATGCGTATGGAACTTATTGTTTATATAAAATATATTTACTTTATTTATAATATTACTATATTTACTTATTTAGAAAATTGTAATATTTCCTATATTTAAAAGAATTATTTATATTTCCATATGTATTGTTATTTTTATGCAATGTCAGATTTAAAACTTTTTAGCACTTAATTGTGGATAAGCTAAATAAAAAATAAAAAATAATGCTAAAAAAAACAGATTAAAGTACGGAAAGTTGTTGAAAAAATGTGTCATAAATTATGTAAAACCTATTTTATGCGAAAAAGCAAAAAATCCAATAAAAAATTAAGACAATTGACAAAAAGAAAACAGTATATTGAGGATTTAATGACATTAAAGTGTATTTAATGTCTATGGCAGTTATAAAGAGGAGGAACACAAATAACAGGCAGTCTTCGCTATGTGTCTTACTTCAGGTGTCTGATCAAACATTGAGTTGATGTCACCAAAGCCACGCCCCCCTGCAAATTCTCCAAAGATCTTCCTGAACAGTTCCTCTGGGTCCACGTTGGCACTGCCCCTCCAGTACTGCTGTTGCCCCGTCCCACTCGCACTCGGACCCGCAGAGCCGTATGTGTCATATTGCTTCCTCTTCAGCTCGTCACTGAGGGTCTATATACACACAGAGACACACAGAGATACACACACACGCATACACGCACGCGCACGCGCGCGCACACACACACACACACACACACACACACACACACACACACACACACACACACACACACACACACACACACACGTGCAGTCACATGCATATATAGTTCTACAAGTCTGTAGTCAGTACGTTTTTTTAAAGAGATTGTATATTCATCAAGGACGTATTAAATTGATAAAGCACACCTATTTCAACAATGTTAATGAATAAATAAATTATTTTTAGCTTTGACATTACATAAATACATTGATGTTCTTACTAAATTTTATAGCAGAGTATATTTTTTATATTACATATTTAGAAATATTTTGCACATTTCAAAATATTATGATCCAAAACTTGTAAAGAGTAGCGTAAACATGGACAACTATTTTAGTTAATTATATTATGCCTGACGTCTGTTCTACTTTTGTTTGTCACAGAAAATTATCATTACTGCAAGACAACAATGAAATCAAATAATAAATAAAAATAAAAATTGTATTTATTTGAATAATAAAAATCATAATTCAAAATAAAATCATAATTTTGAGCAATGTCATGTTCTAAAAAATGAAATTCTCCAGACCACAATATTTTTATTTGAAATTATTAAAATAAATGTTATCAGACCAATAGGCAATAAACCACTTTTCATATCTAATAATTTGGGGTCAAATATACCCATAAAGGATTAGAAAATGTACTAATATAACAACAAAAATAATAATAAAAAATATATAGAAGGAATTAAATGTTAAATGTTAAATTAAAAATTAAATTTAAAAATGTAATTTTATTTATTTAAAAGCAATTAAAAGCATTAAATGTTCCTCACCTCATAAGCTTCTGCCAGTTTGGCAAACTTCTCTTTCGCATCAGGGTCATCTGGGTTGGTGTCTGGATGGTATTTCTTGGCCAACTGAGAGAAAATACATGTTAAACATGTTAAATGTTAATGGTGTCACAGTGTTTGTCAAACCTAGTAGTAGGTATTGTTCTGACAGAATGACAACCTTGGATAAAAATATCACAATTTCACGGTATGACGGTATTGTGATTACTTCTCTAAAATATGTTCTTTTTAAATGTTTGGGTAAAAAACAAAAACCTTTTCCCCCTTTAAACACAATATATTTTATTTTGAGAAACATTTAAAATGTTTTGGAACATTAAACATGTTAGGCTAAATAATTCAAATAATTCATTGACTTCCGCTGTCTTCATTAGTTTCACAGATTTCTTTACAACTTGAAAAGGTATATTTGGATATCTTTTCTGCTAGAGATACTGCAGTCATAAAAAAAAAATAAATAAAAAAAAAAAAAGTAAAAAAATTGTACATATATCGTAGGAACGGTGTAACAGAACATTTTTGCAGTTTTAAAACTTTGACTTTTCCAAGCCGCGGGAAACCTTGAAACCAGTAATCATCCCATGTCTACCTGGTAGTATGCTTTCTTAATCTCTTTTTGAGAGGCTGTCCGAGGAACCCCCAAAACTTCATAGAAGTCCTGCTGACGGAAGCCGGAAGAAGTGTGGAAGAAATGAGAGCTAAAAACACTGTGGGGTCTCAATGCTGAAAAACACAAAGCATCACTCAAAATCACTGTAAGAATAAATGATTATGTATAAAAGTAAAGATAAAAAAATAAAACCTCTATTTTTTATTGAAAGTTTCACTATAATTTTCTATTTCGCTACGTGTTGCAAAATAAAAGTCGATTTTTTTATAGACCCTTTTCACAAGATGGTAATGACTCTTTTCAGACATCAGCATAATAAATCCTTGTGAGTATTTAATATTTGGTATAAAAAATGTATAATGTACATTTATAAAGCTATACTTTTTATTGCATAATCTTTGCATCAAATTACAAAAAAACTAGTTAACGCTAATGCAGCATCTATGACAGCAGCATCTCTCATGATGCTATCATTCATTCATTCTTTAATTTTCCTTCGGCTTAGTCCCTTGATTCATCAGGGGTCACCACAGCGGAATGAACCGCCAACTTATCAGGCATATGTTTTACACAGTGGATGACCTTCCAGCTGCCACCCACTACTGGGAAACACCCATTCACACACATACACTACAGCCAATTTAGCTCAGTCAATCCACTTATACCGCATGTATAAGCCGGGGCTTGAACCAGCAACCTTCTTGCTGTGATGAGAAAGTGCTAACCTCTGAGCCACTGTGTCGCCCTTGCTATTTTAAGTCTCACACATTCTTTTTTCCTTTTTTAAAGTTCTTTTGTTATTTGAGCAAATTAAAATAAAAATATATACTAATTTGTGGTATTCTTCTATTCCCTGTTCTCTAGGTTTACCCAATTATGACGATTTCCACTAATGAGAAACCCAGAAATGTGAAAAGGAAGTATAGAGTCTGCTCTTCTTTACATCATGCAACAGTTGAGTTCTGGAAGTAAACACTCTGGTTGTTTACTCCATAGAGAAACTGTTTTTTTTTAACAATGATAACTGGTTTTTAAAAATTTTCTGAACATTTAAGACAGACCAGTTTTTGAGTAAAGTTGTTAAGTGCTTGTATGCAGTTTTGTTGTACTTAATTCAAACTATTACAAAAAAACATTGTGTGTTAGAAATGTTTGATAAAAACTACATTTCCTGTTAAGCTTTACAAAAACATTCCACTAATCATAGTCGCAGCAAACTAAATGTGTCAAAAGCAATGTTTAGCTCCACGCACTCCTTGTATAGCAAATCAACATAATCAATGTAATCAAGTCGTTTAAATGCAGAGCTTAAAACGCTGTGATTGGTTTGATTTATTCTTTTTACGCAGTTTCGAACTTCGCATCTGATTAATTCGGGGAGGAAAGTCAACTGAATCGAATCATTAACACCAAAACACTGATTCGTTAAGTAATGTCATTAGTCCGTGCTAGTCGAAGTTTTGCAAATGTTTATTAACAAATTACTGGACATAATGTCATTTAAATCCAAGTTAATAAAAGGATAGTTAAAAAAATTCCTCACCATTTTATCTCACACAATGTGTTTTAAAGTTTTCTTTCTTTCTTTCTTTCTTTCTTTCTTTCTTGAACATAAGATATTTCTTTCTTAATGTTCAACAGAAGAAACAAACAGGTTCGGAACAAGACTAAATGACTGCAGAATTTTCATTTTTGAGTGAACCACCCCTTTAACATACTTATCAGTGCAGAGTTTTATATAAGATCACACTTGATGTAAATAAATGCGTGTCTAAACATTAAATCACTACATTTTTCTGCTGGTGGTGACAGTAAATAAATTGCTAGTAAGATAAGTTTTTTTTTATATATACATTTGCAATTATGCAAGTTGGTTGCATCATATCTTTCGACTTCTCTAATACCATTGTCATAAATAGACATAGGCTTTAAAACAGTGACATATGTTACACCTCATATTAAAATACAAGATAGTATATACTTGTTTTGCAAACAGAGTTCATACAGTAGCTACTCTCACATAACCAGCTCACCTGGTATCCTCCTCAATGTCACTCCCCCTCTGTGCCTCCAGCAGCTTAAACTCTTCTCTGTCACATAACTACGACTCCAGCATATCCTCAAAGCAGTAACATCTCCATTTCTGGAAGACTTTAAAAGTGCACAGTTGCTGTGAAGTCCAGGAAAAGCGCCTGACAGCCAGCGTGCACTGGAGGCTGCCATGTTTACATCACTCGTTAAGCACTGCGCATGCGCATGAAGCTGACATGTACAACTGCATTGCGGACTTTCGCCACTAGATAGAGCGACACGAACACTTTAAGGAAAAAGACGACAACTGGTATGCTCAACAGAATGATGTTTTGTGTGTAAGTTAGCGTTTTACAAAAGTTAGCGTTTTACAGATTTGTTTTACAAACAAACTTGTTTTACAAACAAGTGGCTTTAAGTTTCTAAATATGCTTTAGGGTCGTCAACGGTTCTCAAGATGCATGTTTTTAATGTTTCAGTAAGTTCAAGTCAAACATGATATGTCTTACATTTCTAAGGCCTCTACTTTATCAATATAACGTAAACCTAGCTGAAAAACATGTTGTAAACAAACTGCTATTGTATTAATTGAGGTAACGTGGATTTTTATATTTGCACATTCGTTCAGTGACTTGTGACATGCTCCCTAAAATGTTACCATTGAACTTTAAATAGTCTGAAATAAGATGTATATATTCATATGAATGACTTCAAAACAACATTGTGTTTGATACTTTTAAGCATCAAAATTTTATCCGTTTCATATTACTGTAAAAACATCTACATCTAGCTGTATGTTTTTGCTGTATATTCTTGATAATTAATGTATTTATTTATTTCTATAGCGAACATAATTGCTTTTAGATTGTGTTACTGGTAACATTTCAACCCATTAGATTTACTTCATTATCCACACATTGTTACAACATACGATATTTATAATAAAATGCGAGTATTAAACGATCCATCAGGCTTTTAGAGATTAAATATTTGTATATCCAGCATACGATATTTATAATAAAATGCGAGTATTAAACGATCCATCAGGCTTTTGGAAATTAAATATTTGTACATCTATCAATCATGAAACTGCAAAAACATTATCAAACCAACAAAAAAGTATGTTGACAATAAAACAAATCAAGATATTCATATGACATGCATTTAAATGTTACTAAGAAATATTTATATGTATATAAATATTATGATATGACATAACTAATATTTATATATGCGTATAGATATGTTATAAAGAGATAAGAGATGGGACGGCATGGTGGCGCAGTGATACCATTGCAGTTAGAAGGTCGCTGGTTCGAGTCCCGGCTTGACCAGTTAGCATTTCTGTGTGGAGTTTGCATGTTCCCCCTGTGTTAGCGTAGGTTTCCTCTGGGTGCTTCGATTTCTCCCACAGTCCAAAAACATGTACAGTATGGGTGTTTCTCTGTACTGGGTTGCAGCTTGAAGGGCGTCCGTTGTGTTAAACACACAGTGTGCTGGTTAAGTTGACAGTTCATTGCACTCTGGTGCCCCCTGATGAATAAAACTACTGAGTTGAAGGAAAATGAATAAATGAGATAAGTGAATGATATCACAAGCTGATATTCTGAATTTTTTGACCTTATAAATATCAGCAAGTGCGCCAAAGGCATATTTCATCATTGTATGGACTGCTGGATAAATGTTTTATTTTCCCCGCCATATTATACTATCATGCTATGTAAGCCACAAAAGTCTACTGTATCAAATATGATAGTTAACAAAAACATAGATGCAATTTTAAAATCTTTTACTATAAAATATAGAATAAACAGTAAATACAAGTCAGAGACAAGATGCCCCATTTAGGTGTTGCCATTAAATTAAATTTACAAAAGTAAATCAAAACAAAATCATATTAAATGCAAGCAAAGTATCTATTTTTGACAACTTTTGTGAAAATAAAATAAGAAAATATGGGTGAAATAATATGGGTGTCACTCAGAGTAACATATATATTTGTGTAAAAATTAAACAATAAGCTTATTCCAAACTGTGCTTATTAAAGTATGAAAAATAATTTTAAATCTAAAATAATTGCAATAATAATAAAGTTGTACTAAATTTTAATTATATTTTAAACAGGTAAAACTAAAAAAATATTGTTTTAAAAATAAATTCATATTTTTTAATACACTGAACTTTAAATGGTATTTTATTCCGTGGCCATCTATGTAAATCATGACTAAAATGTATGACAGTCTCTTAGTTTTGCTAAGGAAAAACACAATTTAAAGGGACAAATTATAATGAACTAAGAAATTACCAAAAAAATCCCTTTTTGTTTCTGTTCCACATTCAAATCCTCTTTACATTATGAGTTATACATGTCATGATGTTTCATTTAAACTCATCATGTAATCTAAGTTTGGAATCTAAACTACTAATTTTCTAGTCTAAGTCCTGACCAGAATCAAGACTAAACCCCCTTAAGGCCCAGATCCAGACCAAGGTCTCTCAAACATGGGCATCATATTAACAATAATGACTTTATTTGTCTTAAGTATTTCCACATTTCTTTCCCACTACACAGATAACTGAAAAACTGCCATGAGGGCCACAGTCAGAAGTCAAAACTAGCATTTTTACAGACCTTGAGGTTTCTTAAGGAGGGAAAATGATATTTTGAACAACATTTACTGTAGTCATGAAACGCCACAAGTTGTATATGTGTGGTCTGACTGTGGCTCTTTTTATTATGGAGCAGTTTTGCTGGCCTGTGGCGACTGGGGTTTGGACGCCGCTGAGACCCCCTGGTGATGATGTCATAATGACTGTGGCTGATGTCATAATGAGCCTGGTTGCCGGTTGGACGCAGAAGCTTGTGTGTGTGGTGAGTTTAACCGCTGTCTCTTATGCCACCTCCACAGGCAAATAATACACCCATTCCTTTATGAAAACATGTATGGAAAGTCTTTCTTTTCTCATATGCTCTGTACTCATGTATGTTTTCTCATATTTCAAATATACAAAAATGCCCAAAATATGTAGTACAAAATATTTATTTTTAAGTTATTAAAATTATACAGTATTTAATTTTACAAAATATTTATATAAATGATTCATAATTGTATCTAATAACATCTAAATAATAATAATAATAACAATAATAATTTCTAAAAATACGTATAATGTACTCTCACCGGCCATTTTATTAGGTACACCTTATTAGTACTCGGTTGGACCCACTTTTGCCTTCAGAACTGCCTTAATACTTTGCATAAATTCAACAAGGTACTGGAAATATTCCTTAGAGATTTTGGTCGATATTAACATGATATCATCACACAGCTGATGTAGATTTGTTGGTTGCATATCCATGATGTGAATCTCCCGTTCTATCACATCCCAAATGTGCTCTATTGGATCGAGCTCTGGTGATTGTGGAGGCCATTTGTGTACAGTGAACTCATTGTCATGTTCATGTTCATGAGGCCAGTCTGAGATGATTCGCGCTTTATGAATAGCTAAAGGGGTGGACATGGTCAGCAACAATACTCAGATAGGGCATTGATACGATGCTTGATTGATACTAATGGGCTCAAAGTGTGCCAAGAAAATATCCCCCACACTATTACACCATCACCACCAGCCTGAACCATTTATACAAGGCAGGATAGATCTATGCTTTCATGTTGTTGATGCCAAATTCTGACCCTTCCATCCGATTATCGCAGCAATAATTGTTAGACCAGGCAACGCTTTTCCAATGTTCTATTGTCCCGTTTTGGTGAGCTTGTGTAAATTGTAGTCTCAATTTCCTGTTTTTAGTTGACATAAGTGGCACCTGTTGTGTTATTCTGCTGCTGTACCTGATCCGCCTCAAGGCTGGACATGTTGTGTGTTCAGAGATGCTCTTCTGTATACCTCGGTTGTAACAAGTGGTTATTTGAGTTACTGCTTCCTTTCTATCAGAACAAACCAGTTTGGCCATTCTCCTCTGACCTCTGGCATCAACAAGGCATTTGCCTCCACAGAACTGCCGCTCACTGGATATTTTCTGTTTTTTGGAGCATTCTCTGTAAACCCTGGAGATGGTTGTGTGTGAAAATCCCAGTAGATCAGTAGTTTCTGAAAAACTCAGACCAGCCCATCTGGCACCAACCACCATGCCACGTTCAAAGTCACTTAAATCACCTTTCTTCCCCATTCTGATGCTAGGTTGGAACTGAAGCATAATGTCTTAACCATGCGTAAATGCAGTAGTTGCTGCCATGTGATTGGCTGATTAGAAACTTGCAGTAACAAGCAGTCAGAATATATATCAAAACAATTAGAACTTTATATTGAAATGCATTAAAGAATGCATTTGTTTAATTATTTAGTAAGAAAGTACACAAAGGAACATATTTATTTAATGTCTAAAGAAACAAACTTTAAAAGAAATATAAAGTGTAAAAAGCTATCACAGCTATATTTGTGCGTTGTACATCTATATCTAAGGTAAGATACTCTATATTTTGGAAATCAATTTGTCAAAATCATTTTTACTGCAAATAAATTTTCAGATCTCCGGCTGCAAATGTATTTTCTTGACCCTGAAATATATATTTGAAATATATTTTAGTATATGAAGATTGATATTAAACATATTTTCAATTTCAAAAATATGTTTTATTGCACTTCACTGCTACAAAATATATTTAACATTTAGTTTAGCCAGATAAAATGCATGGTTTTACCATATGGCTTTGCTTATTTCATCTATGGGAATCCCTATTTTTTTAAGTGGAAACTCTACTGAGATAATTGTCTACATTAAATGCACGTACGCATCTTCTTTGAGTGGGCAGGCCGGCTCATCCTTCTCTTTCAGCATACAGTAAAAGTTAACAATCCTCAATATCCCTTAGTTAAACAGTCATGGCCAACATGTGTGTTGAATTAAGAGAGTCCCACCGCTGTACGGCTCTCAACTGTTTCCAATTGTTCCCCTGTGCTCATTCACACACTTATCATTTACTGTCGCACACACACACTGTAACTGAGATAGACATGGCAATGAATGCTAACTTTGCTAATGGCTAAAGTAATAGGATATAGTTTGTGAAAAGAAGTTTGCGAAGTTTAAAATGATTTGGTTTTGAAAAAAGAGACTACCTGCATGTGATATGAAACGTATATTTCACATTTACTGTGCATTAATATTTTGGCAAGCATA